GCTTCAGCTGCTCTACAGATATCCAATGCTTTTACTAGCGTCATCCGCGTTTCTCTAAGCAGTCGTTCTTTCATTCGAGCGTCTGTTAAACTAAACACCACTCACAGTCTTTTGATTTTTGACGTAGCTCTGTAACAAATTTATCCACTGACAATCCATCGGCCATCTTGTGTGACCAAAATTGATGTTCAAACACAATATTTTTCTGTGGGCTGCAGTACTGTTTAAAAGCTTGCAGAGTCTCTTGCATAGTATGATTTTCCCTGTCTTCATAATCAATCGTGAGAGTGTTATAAACTTCCAGTGCCTCTTCACCTATTGTGTGAAGCAAAATCGCTATTTTAACATTCTCATCCTTTTCATCAGACCCAGCTGCCGTCATATACAATGAAAATCTTTGCTCCCACCTCCGCCAATTCTCTGCAATATTGCCTGAAAGTATTAGAGGCGACGGAGGCTTAAATTGCTCCATCTAGCCCGTTTCTCCTCCTCCAACTAAACACAGACTTACTTCAACCATTCGTTTGCGCCGGGAATCCCTCATCCAGCACTTATTTACATCCTTAATGCACTGTTGAGCTGCCACTTCTAACACCATGTCATATTATACTATACTATGATTCAAGAATATGCATCTGTTTTTACGGGGCTTGGTGAGTTTCCTGGTGTTTACCACATTCATGTTGATCCAAATATAACTTCAATAGTGAATGATTTGCAGGAAGCATGGAGTGGCTGTGAGTCTGTCTTTAGTCAATCCATTAGCCCACAAACACTGAAAGAAACCCACATAAAGGACGAATATGACACTATAAGCTGTTAATAGTTTGCATTCTCAAACTGCAGTCTTACATGCAATGAGTTATGTTTTAGTAAGAAAGCATATAGATGTAAATAAAGCTTTTCGTTACTTCAAAAGATTATATAAAGTGAACTAAAACGATTTTTCCTCAGTTAAAATATATAGCCTACCTACCATGATGTTTAAAGTGTATCGGCCTACATCAAAATAGTAAGTGTCTTTAAGGCATTCTGAAATAATAAGGTTAATAAAGGCCTAATCATGAAAAAAATAATAATTAACTGTATTATATTATATACGTTCCAACTTCCCACATGTGGAATTTATTTTGTTACCACAGGTGAAACTTTAACATTTGAGTAAGCAAATCGTATGAACAGCGACGTCGTGTGGACATAGACGGACTTTATGATTCTGTGACAAACAGATTTTTTTTTTACCGCTTCTTTCATTTCACGAGGGAGAGTAATTTAGCTGACACTTTCAGTCAGATGATTCTTCTTTATGACAGAGAAAAGAGGTGGCTTTGCAGTTTAATTTATTATGTAATGAAATGGACTGTCACTTAATTACGTAACACGACAGATGTGCCTCGTGCGATCAACTGTTTATGGTTTATGCATGTGCAATTGTTTAACATGCAGGAAAAAAATATTTCATATCTGCCCAGTCATTATCGTTCACGGACTGAGGTTACTAATACAAAGAAATAAATAATTATATTGTAGACGTCACGTCTTACGTAACGTGGGGGTGTGGCCAAACAATTCATCCATTTGAGTCACTGCTAATGTCCTTTTTGTAGTGTAAACAAACATTTCTACCGTTTCGCTAAACTTTAATATTATGTTTTTTTGTCCTTGGGTTACTGACAATGTATCTGAACAGCTAACGTTTGCGCGTTCCACTCTGTCTTTGTGTTTTAGGTAAGCAGTCAATATTGTAATGTTTTTAAGTAGCATATTATGTCTCATTGCTTAAATACAGCCCTCAAAATTACTTTGACAAAATTGTTACAAAACTTACTTAATTCACCCTAAAAATAGTACAAGTGTCTTCGCATTACATAACAAAACCAAGGAGCATTTGTTGGAAAATAAATAGCATAAACAAACAAGTGTCTTAGAGTTTAGGTTGTAAATCAGTACATTGATTGCTTAACATTAAGTTTAAAACAGTGTTTGGACCATAATCAGTGTTTTGGATATTTTGTGATTGTCAGACGTTATAGTTAATGTGGTGAACTGTGATTAGACATTTGCTTGAACTTGAGTAAAACTGTCTTTAAAAAATCCACTTAAAATAACCTTAACACCAGATAGTTACAGGTATTTGCAAAATAGTTAAAAGGGTTAGTTTTCAGAAAATGTTTAGCACCATCTGTTTGTTGATGCTGCTTGGTTTGATGCAGTTAAGTTCATAAATATGGGGTTTAACGCTCAAATTTTATCTTACAATTTCATATATACAGGTGCATCTCAATAAATTAGAATGTCGGGGAAAAGTTAATTTATTTCAGTAATTCAACTCAAATTGTGAAACTTGTGTATTAAATAAATTCAATGCACACAGACTGAAGTAGTTTAAGTCTTTGGTTCTTTTAATTGTGATGATTTTGGCTCACATTTAACAAAAACCCACCAATTCACTGAATTACTGAAATAAATGAACTTTTCCACGACATTCTAATTTATTGAGATGCACCTGTATATATATATATATATATATATAAATTATTTATGCATTTCTTTTTATATTTCTATTAGTAAAAATATATATAATTTATTTATATATTTATTTGTTTATATACAGGTCATCAGCTATGCTGTTTAGTGGAATCGGCATTAGTCACCAAAAAAATTTCAGCAGACTGCGTGACAGAACAGCATCCCGTAAGTAAATGAGCGAGACAACATTTACATTTACACTTTATTAAACAAGCACAATGTGAGAGGATGAGAAACACGGTGGTGAATTATAGTTTCATACAGTTTACAGCAATGGAGAGACACCCAGATAGAAAGGAGGAGTAAACGGGGACTGAGAAGGTGTACAAGACAGATGTCAATCTGAAAAGAGAGAGATCACAAACATTTGTGGTAGAGGCAGAGAGAGAAAGAGCAAGCAAAGAAGAAATCAAGAAAAACGCAGTGCAAGCAAGCAGCCCGAGGAGAGGCTTAGTAGTGTTACTACATGGACAGTCTACAAATGGTTTAAAATGTTTTCATAAAGAAGAGAGTAAAATTGATCCACAATAATTCTTTATATCAAAAATATATCAATGGGTCTATAACTACATGAAATAGAGAAAGCACATACAATATTAAATATTTACATTTTGTATGTGAGTATTTGTCAAATCCTTATATACACAAAAATTTAGTCCCAAACAGTACAAACATGAACCCAACATTGACAGAACATTGCAGCTGTGCAGATCACAGAGCCACAACGTAATTCCAATGTTGTCAGGATGTTGGTGACCACTTGGGTGAAGTCCCTGTGATAATGTACAGTCTGATTGTTTCGAAGTGCTATGTGTTGATGTGCTTATAGAGAGAATCATGCACTCCCATCAATCGCTCCCATCAGTGGGATTTTGGTTTCCTCTGTAAAAATGCGAAACGTAACAACTCGGAAAAGGTGCAAAAAAAAATAAAAAATCAGGCCTCTGCGAAGTCGTGCTGACCGCTTTGCATCGACCATTTCTGAAAAACACAAGAAAATGCAAATGATGCTTCATGAAGTATAAGAATGTGAGAGAAAGAAAAACAGAAACACTTCAAAAAATGTTATTTTAATAATTTTAGTACATTCATTTATTCTTTTCTCAATATAAATTTGATATGGCATAATTCATTAATTATAAATTCAATGAAAATGTAAAATACATATCAAAAGTTTGGGATCAGTAAGATATATTATTATTTAAATTTAAAATAATGGCTTTCTACTTTAATATACTATAAAATATTATTTATTGCTGTGATGCAAAGCTGAATTTTCATCAGCCATTACTCTAGTCTTCAGTGTCACATGATCCTTCAGAAATTATACTAATATACTGATTTATTATCAATGTTGGAAACAGTTGTGCTGCTTAATAATTTTTTGGAACCTGTGTTACTTTTTCAAGATTTTTGATGAACAAAAAGTTAAACATTTATTTTCTCTGTCATATAGCATTTATTCAAAATAGAAATGTTTTCCACCAATATATGTGACCCTCGACCACAAAACCAGTAATAAGTAGCACAGGTATATTTGTAGTAATAGCCAAAATATATTGTATAGGTCAAAATTATTGATTTTTATTTTATGCCAAAAATCATTAGGATATTAAGTAAAGATCATGTTTCAAGAAGATATTTTGTAAATGTCCTACCGTAATTTAATAAAAACTAAATTTTTGATTAGTAATATCCAAAAATACATTGTATGGGTCAAAATTATAGATTTTTCTTTTATGCCAAAAATCATTAGGATATTAAGTAAAGATCATGTTTCAAGAAGATATTTTGTAAATGTCCTACCGTAATTTAATAAAAACTAAATTTTTGATTAGTAATATGCAATGCTAAGGACTTCATTTGGACAACTTTAAAGGCGAATTTCTCAGTATTTTTATTTTTTTGCACCCTCAGATTCCAGATTTTCAAATAGTTGTATCTCAGCTAGACTTGTGTTGGTATTCGGTAATGCTTATAGCACGGTAATGAATATGCACGATATTGTTATTGTTCAGTTATTTTTGTTATAAGAAAAAAGTTATTAAACCTGTTATACTGTATTATGACAGCACTTTTTTTTAAACTTAATTTCAATATCGTGATAATACCGTATACCGTAATAAAAGCATTAGCAATTAATCGCAACATGAAAATTTGATACCGGCATATCCCTAATCTCAGCCAAATATTGTCATATCCTAACAAACCAGACATTAATGGAAAGCTTATTTATTCAGCTTTCAGATTATGCAGAATCTTATGACTGATTTTGTTGTCCAGGGTCACATATGTCTTTACTATCACTTTTTATCAATTTAACACACCCTTGCTGAATTAAAGTATTAATTTCTTTCAAAAAAAGAAAGCAAAAATTTAACTGACACCAAACCTTTGTACAGTAGTGTATATTGTTACAAATATTGTTACTGTTTTCAACATATACAGTATATATATATATATATTATCTGTCAAGAAATGTTGCAGGCAACATATTCAGAGAGTGATGCATGGTTTAGTGTGGCATTTTCTTTTTCCTTAGTCTTTGTCTTACCCAGGCCACGGTAGCAGGACAGTTGCTGGTAGATCTGTTTCATACGCTCTATGTTGAGGCGGCTTGCCTCGGCGTGATGCACCATGGGTTTGGGGTAGTGTACACCAATTATACATTTGGCTGCTTTCTGGACGCTTTCAGGAGCATTCCAGGGGTCGTAGATATACTTTGCTGGGAAACCCCTTAACACTGGCAAATATCGCCTTCAACAGATAAAAGAGAGTAGATTTTATACATATGGGTCAAAGTTGAGATGTCCCATTTTGGTGGCCACATCAAATTACATTTACAAAAGTGATTTTAACGCATGTTAAATGCAAGTGAAAGTGTCTACTTTAATGTTTTAATGTTTTTAAAGGTATTTTTAATAATCATTTAAATGTTCTTTGTTTTCGCTGTACAGTTGCAACTCACCGTATGTAGTCTCCGTTGGGGTCAGTGCGGCGGCCGAAGCCCACGGGACAGTAGCAGTGGAAGAACTGCTGGAAGAAGGAGCTACAGGACAGCCACATCCAGCTTCCTGCATTCACGCTCCAGTCTGCATCCAGCAACAGCTCCTCGAAAACCTGTGAAGACACATGCATGTGAGTGCTGCCACTGAAGGTCTGTCATATTAGCAAAATCACAATCATGAACTCCTCATACTTTCATGCCCTCCTCCCAGCTGATCCATAGGTCTCCGCGGGTGAGGAAACAAGCGACTGCGTGTCGGGCCAGATGGTGGATCCAGCCCTCTTGTCTCAGTTGGGTCATGATGGCATCAATCCAGGGGAAACCCGTCCTGCCCTCAGCCCACTTGGCCAAAGCCTCTGGGTTTTTGTCCCACGGGATCTGCACACAAATAGGATTGCCTTCCATCTTGTCAAAGCGTGGGTTGTTGGTGGCAGCCATGTAGAAGAATTCACGCCACAGTAATTGGCCATAGAGGGACAGAGGAGGTGAGCTGTTCTTTTTGACCTGTGGGGGAAAAGTTATCATTCAGCTAACTCTCTACATGTTCCCCGAGTCCGTTTAACATTAGCAACGTCATTTGAAGTACAGTGACATACAGATATAATAACATGCTGACCTTTCTGTAGAGGTCTGTGAGTTTGAAGTAGAAAAGTCTACAGGAGAGGCAGCCGAATCTTAAATATGGACTGAGGCCAGTGGGACTGGCCAACAGCGAATTGGCATTCATTCTTGGACGCTCAAAGTTGGCCACCCAAGCCTAGAACAAAAAAGTTGGTTATGAAAGAATCATTAATTTACTGCGCTCATCAATAAGGATGGCCAGTGGTCAGCTTAACTTACAAACTTTACATCTTGTTTTCTGTATTTTGTTGAACAAGTTATTTAAATGGTAAACATGCACCACGGCTGAAAAGATTGGGGTTGGTGTGATTTTTAATGTATTTGAAAGACGTCTCTTATGCTCACAGAAGCTGCATTTATTTAATCCAAAATACAGTAAAAACAGTAATATTGTTGTCTTTACTGTCACTTTTGATCAATTTAATGCATTCTTGCTGATTAAAAGTAGAATTTTTTTTTTTAATTAAATAAAAAATGACACCAAAATCTGAATGTTAGTGTAGATGGTGAGGATTTTTTGAAAGAATAATATATGATAATCTTGAAAGCATCAGTTAAAATGGGTCCGATTATTATCAACTCACTAAATGTCATTGTTTTCTGAATTTTTATAGTTTGTTTAGTTACATTTATAACATTTCAATCCTACAGCTGTAAATGTGTGATTCATGGAGTGTCTCCAACCTTCCTCTCCAGGTGCCTCTCCAGACGAGTGAGGGCCTCTGTTTCTCCTCCAGGCCACACAGCTGAGGCCAGACCTTCTGTGTCAAAGCCTGTTCCAGAAAAACAATTCATCAACAATTACCATTTTTACAGGGAAACACAGTAAAGGAAAGACAGTTTGACTGATTGCAGTTTAAGGATGTATTGCATACTTCATGTAGGTGAGTAGTTTAGTATGCTACACATTTTAGTTTTGAAGCTATTTTTTGAAAGACAGCAGACTAACCAAGCTCTTCCAAAGAAGGAACACCGAACTTCTCATCGTGGTCTTCAGAGACCGGCGAGGTGCACAGCCCCATGACTTCTGCTGTGATGGTCTCTGCCGGGGTCTCCACCGCCTCCATCCTGCTGATGAGGGTCTGGAAGCGCTTGTACGTAAGCGGAGACTGGCCTCCATTCAGCTCGATGATCCTGAGAGACGACAATCCACCAGTGAGTTAAGATAAAGAATATCAGTTACAGTTGACTCTGCCTTAAAAATGTTACTGGCCAACTGTTGCCATCCACCACATCAGACAAGCTTTTGATCTTTTCTAATGTCAGTCTATGGTAGTCCTGTGTGTTTGAATAGGGTTTGAGTACAGACAGAATTTTATAGAGGTGAAAATACAATAAAACGTTACTGCAGAGGGACTTATACATACACCAAAAAAAGTCGACAGGAGAGGCAGCCGAATCTTAAATATGGACTTTTATAGAGCCTCTATAAAAGTCCATTCATACACAAAGTTTTTATCCTGTTTCCAAATTCGTTGATAAATCTTGATAAAAGTATTATTAAGAACACCTACATTTACTCCAAGGTAAATTCATGTTTTAAATTGGCATAATGATTTAGGAAAGTGCTGTAAAGCAAGCAGTGGCATTCAAGGGGGCAGAGCTTAGCAAAAGGTCAGTTACAACAAATTAATTATAGACCAAATGTTTCAACAAAATTGAATGGATTTAGAAGTACTTACTTGTCCAGATCGTAGAGCGTGTGAGAGATGCGAACTATCACCTCCACACCTGCCTCATTGGCCAGCTTCTTGATGGCTGCGTCTCGCTCCTTTCCAAATGGTTCTGAGTCGTACTCATAGGACAAACGAGTAATGTTCCACTCCTGGATGCATTACAAAATCATACCATTAGGGGGTGTAAAATATTCACTCATAGACACACAATAGTGAGAGAGAGCCAAGTCACCACATGTGGAAGATTAGATGAAAATGTCACATTTAAAGAGCTTTTTTTTTTGTTCTTTCTAATCCAGGATATTTCATAAATCAAAAACCTTATCCTGGTGCAAGATTATTACTATACTGAAACATAATTCAGTCAACTGAAACCTTAAAGAGCCTGGGGAAGACATCGGTGGGTTGGCCACGGATAACGAAGAGTCGTGAGTTGAGTTTGCGGAGGCTGGCGTCCAAGTCTTCCAAACACTGCAGTAAAAACCTGAGCAACAAGAGACATGACATGTATTTATAGCCACATACTGACAAATATTATCATGCACATAATAAAAGTCTAATAATAAGGCAGTTATACTCTCACAATAACTATTGCAATGCTGTTGCACTGTGCAACAGAATATATTGAAGTGTAAAACATTTCAAAGAAGGCAAGGCATTGAACAGATATAGGGTAAAAATAGATATAGGGTAAAAATCTGCTGACAGAATAACTGCTATAATAATTATAGATTCTTACTTGCTGAAGCGACAATGTATTGCAAAAGGTTTCAACCTCACTCATTTTTCCAATGTTGTACCCATTTTTTTTTTACAAAAAATATGACAAAATCGAATTCTCTATGATATTGTTTTTTATTTATAAACACACAAACTCAAACATTTTAAAGTTGCTTTTATTGAAAAATAATTTTCTTTTTGTAAATATAAAGTTGTGTGTGTGCGAATACTCCATTCCTGCTTTGCAAAATAGGGGCAAAACATAGGAAATACGGAACGACTGATTCAGTTTGGCACCACTGGCAACTGCTAACTGAACATTGATTTGTTTATTATGCACTGAGCTGAAATTAAAACAGGCCGCCGCCCTTATATAGCTGTCATTATGCATGTACAGACACTCATTCATCTTTCAAGAGCTGCACTCCAATGACCTTGAATTCACTGTTCTGCTGTACACAAAACTGAATACATTTCGAAGTTTTGAACCTTGGAAAAATCCAGTGATTATTTCATCCTAAACGACGTAACTTGTAAACAAGACCTTATATTTACAATTATTCATCCTTGGCATTCGCTTGCACCATGTTCTACCATTTGAGCTACAGCTGCAGTGTGTTATTGACCCAGAAACCCAGTTCCTATTGTCTGCAGGATCTCACATAACCTCAAGAGCTGAGTAAGTGAAAAACTCCAGTCTTCAAAGCTAAACTCTCCTCAACCCCTAGACCAGGGGTTTTCAAACTTTTTTGGGGCCAGGGACCCCTTACAGGGGAGAAGATTTCCCAAGGACCCCCTCATAATTATAACAGGTTTTAAGGCTAAAGTTTAATGTGGGTAGGAGGAATGAACATAATGTGAATGCTTTATTGGTGCAAATGGTCCCCATTGTATATGTACTTTTTAATACTACAGCATAATAAAATTTACCATATTTTCCAGAAAGTTGCACCAGGTCAGGGGGAAAAAAATTAAACAAAACATAAGTTGCATTGGTGTGTAAGTCACATTTTACTATTACATTCAGAAATAATTTAAATACTGAATAGGTCACATTTATTTTAAATGCCATAGGGGCCGATCCCGTGGGTGCTCGTGAAAAACACAAGATAGTCTTCGTTCATTTTAACCAATAAGAAATGGATTGCAGCTTTTACAACTTTATTCTCGTATTTATAGTTCATTTGAGGCAGTTTTTGGCATTATTTTAATGGCAAATGTCGAGAGTGCATTATTGTAATACGAGAGGGCGCCAGCACGAATCTCTCGGCTTACAGCGGGCTTGCTCTCCATTATATATATAGTGATCATGGCTCTGCGCTCCCTCAGATATTACGTGTAACTCAAACTTTGTCCTGTGTACGCGCAAACAAGTGCTTTTTGTAAACAGGTATTTATTAAATTATTTTATTTAGTGAAGCGCAAACCCTCATAGAAAGAATGTGTGTATTATTTATTTGGTTGGTAATTGCATGCATTTCGTGTAAACAGCGGTGAAAATGTGTTTTATAAAAAAATAAAATGCTAGTTTTTTTGCACCCACAAGCAGAAACATAAACCGGCGCCTATGGCTATGCCCATAACAAACTAAACTTACTTAATAAAAACTGAAACTTAACCACATAGTTAGCTCGCAAACCTCTTATTCACCATGAATCGTTTCCATGAGTGAATCGTTACGCAGTCTAATATTTGGTTGCTAAACTATTAGGCTACTTATGTAAAGAAGGCTTTGTAATTCTCTCATGTCCGAATATCTACTAACAGCATCCTTCACATATGCAAAGAAGTGTTTGGAAAAACACCACGGCATGCTCACGCTGACCCGCAAAACAGACAAGTTAAATTGAGTCACCAAATACCTTTTGTAGGTTTAGTTGTCTCATTTAGTTTGCTGATGATGAGGCTGTGATGTCAAGTTGCAATGCTAGAACTGATATGTTGTGTGCGCGTGGGATGCACCAGCGCGAACACTTTGGATTCCTTATATCAGCGGAAAAATGTGATATCTGTCAGATAAGAGCAAGGCATCATTCAAAACGGTCTATTTTTATTTGTGTACCTTCAAAATGATGGTGAAACGTTGTGCTTTTGTAAAATAAAGAAAACAAACAAAATGCGCTTGCCGTCTTGGTCTATGTGAACCACTTACTAAAATGAAGAAAAACTCTGCGATACTGTCTACTTGTCAAACAGACATGAGCAATATACTTAGCTATAAACCTTGAAGTGCCCGCTTTTAAGTGTTTACGCTTTGCTTATTTGACATTAATGCATTATATAAGCCAATTTGGAATATAAATCATAGCACGTTTCAGAAGATAAAAAACGCAAGTTGCAGTCCGGAAAATACGGTATAGCAAATTATTTTGCAGACCCCCTGTCTTTGCGTCACGGACCCCAGTTTAAAAACCCCTGCCCTAGACAACCTCGGATAATACTGGCCAAACTATATTTGATCTCAAATGAAAGCTCTCTAAAACTTTTGCTCTCTAACCCTAACCCTGTCAGACAAAAGAATGTTATGTAATATGCATTTTGAGGATTCCTGTCTGGGTCTTAGTGCAGACACTAGCTTAATATATCTTGGCATGACAGTTTTGCATAGTCTTCAATACAAAAACCTTAATCTATTTGACATATGATAGTCATGTTTCTCTCTGGACTGTAAAACTAATCATAAGATGCTAAAGAAAGTAGCCTGGTGCTCTACAGAGTGGCCAATCAAATATTTATTTAGTGTCACGTGGATTACTGTCTGTTTGAGGATGATTCATCATGGTTCTCTGATAGAATTATCAAAATAAAAGCAAGATGGATAAACTGAATATAGCAGGAGGGATCTGAGCCATGTTGATTGACCAGAATATCAAAGACTCTGGCATGGGATGTGTTTTGACTTGGGACAAATCTAGGAAACAGATAACCTGGGGCAAAGTGACCCCTTAATATCATGGCAGGTTTGCATGGGTAAGCATGTTATTTGCATGTGATTTGACCAATTATGAGTGGCAAATTCTGGGAGAAGACCAGTTAATATTCCTATAATTTGCCAATGAGATCTCACTGACATATTCATTAGTATTCTGAAGTTACACAACCAAATTAAACAGACTTATTATTCAGCAAGAGAAACGGCAGCTCTTATTGGTTGAGATAACCAAAATATTGATACTGCCAGTAATACTGTAACGCAGCATTATGTAAACATGTTTCATCTCTGTGTGGAGAAAACATAATGTGTTAGAGTAAGACCAGTCAGCCATTTGTGAAGAAAATTGTTTATTTACTCTCATTCAAAAGTTTGTGGTTGTTTTTGAAAAGTCTCAAAATACAGTCAAAACAGTAACAGTTCAATAACAGTTTCTATTTCAATATATTTTAAAATGTAGTTTATTCTTGTAATGCCAGAGCTGAATTTTCAGCAGCCATTACTCCCGTTTAGTGTCACATGATACTAGAGAAATAAATCGCTATTTGCTGCACAAGAAACATTTCTTAGTGTTATCAATGTTAAAAATAGTTGTGCTGCTTATTATGTTTTTGAAAATCAAGATACATTTTTTTAAGGATTCTTTGATAAATAGAAAGTTCGAAATAACAGCATTAATTTTAAATCTATCTATGGTAATAATATAAATGTCTTTACTGTCACTTCTGATTAATGCATCCTTGCTGAATAAAAGTATTCATTTCTTTCAGAAAAACTCCAACTAATCTTACTGACAAACTTTTGAGCGGTAGAAAATACACCTAATAATGCAGTCCACATGTAGCAGGATGCAGCACACAATACAAACGTTAATACTCTGATTAGAAACAGCTGTGTTTAGAGGCTGACAAAAAACCTGTGACCAGCTCAACTAATACAGTGGGGACCAGAAGTCTAGAAAATAGTTCAAAATTTACTGACAAGATGCGCATTAAATATCGCATGCGATTTATCGTGCAGCCCTAAATCAGTTTATTCTTGCGTCATTTAACATTTCTGAAGTTTTCGAAATCCTGACATGGAAAAAGATCCCACATTTTCAACATGCTCTGTTTTGGATCTAAGTGTATATCCTTGTTTACAGATGATTCATGCTGCAGCAAAACATCTATCCTTTTATTTCTGTACTGTTGTATGATCCTGCCTGCTCTGCATCTGCTCGCAAGAAACGTTGTCCTCTGCATGCAGTCAGTGATAATGTGTAAATCCCTATCTAAGCCATAGCCTCCCTCACTTTGTCATTGACTCACAGCCTATGATCAGAATCAAAGACTGTTGTCTCCCAGTCGTCTGACCCAGTGACACACAAACAGAACCCAGGTCAAACAGAGCACCGCAGTATCATATTATATGACAAGCTGCATCATTGTTGTAATGATTGCAGAGATGATATAGTGCATCAAGTTCAAATGTAAAATTAAAGTCTAGCAACTTTGTGGTGTATGTTTGCAGTCGCTTTTATGGATGTGCACTACAGGTTTTATTTTTTCCAAAATCAACTCGTCAATTTACCAAAGCCATGCATAATTATTCTGATTTCATTTACTTGTCCCTAATTAGACAGATTTTACAGAGCCAGTAAAAGGTAAATACATCTTCAGTAACCAAGCAAGCATATTAAAAGAAATCTAAATCCTATTGTTATTACTTTATTATTTTATATCTTGAAAATTTTACCATCTATCTTTCCCAGTTTATGTAAACTAGGGTGGTACCAGAGCCTATTTTGATTCCATGGTGAATAAAGTAGGTCACCACAGCTGAGCACGTTACTAAGCATTTTGTAGTAACCCTCTATAACACACTGACCCATTTTAGTTCCCAACACAATGGAGACACAAGAGAGCAGATGAAGGCGGGAGACACTAAGTGCTGTTACATCATCACCCAGCATACAATCAGATCACCTGTGTCATCCAGCAATAGGCCTCACTTCGAGTGTGTGTGCCAACATACATTTATAGAAACACCACATGCTATAGTGATTGGATATATTGCACAGGGTGTAAAAAGCTTTTTAAAACAGCACAGATGTTTATCATTTACTCATCCCCGGTTGTTCCACACCCATATCATTTACTTTCTAACGTGAATCACAAAAAGAGATATTTATAGAATGTCCAAGCTGGTCTTTTCCATACAATCAAGCAAGATTTTGAGTGAATATTACATTTCAGTCTGTTTCTCACTCAAATCTATCATAAGACTTGTATATAGTGATACTTTTTTGTCCGTTTTGCAGCTTACAGGCTCAAGTTCCCATCTACTTTTATTTCATGGAAGAGCGCTTTTTTCAGAACTCCTTGTGTTCTGTGTTGGAAACTACATGAGGGTGAGTAAATAAAGACATATATTTGTTTATGGATAAACTATCCCTTTGAGAGTTTAAGAGATGTATAGTAAGCAAGCATGGGTGTGGAAGACTGATGCAAGGGTCTGTATTATGTAATACTGCTTGTAGTGTAAGAATACAAAACAGAGACTGTAACTAATGCATTTGTGTAGCTTTTTGGATATGCAAATTTATGGATATGAATTTTTTTTTTTTATTCTTTAAATATTTATTTTTAATATTACTGGAATACAATTTCAATAGTCTAACCATTGCCAAAATATAAACCTCCACGTGCTGAGCATTTAGCAGCAACTCCCTGACCGTTTAGGCAGTTGAGTTTTATCTAGTATCATAAACTGTGTGGGACCTCACTGGGACACAGGGTCAGAAAAAGTTTATGAACACATTTTGGCTCCTCTTTGAAAACTAAAATAGACTTACATATAAACCTTGACTTGGTAATGGTATAAGTCAGTGTTTTATTACAATGTCATTCAGAAACCTATTCAGAAGTGCCCTGACACTGATGGACAAGCTGCAATCTGTCAATAGGACCTTGCTCAACCAGTCAGTAGATTTAACTAGTTACAAAACATACTGGTTTCTCTTTATTAATTCAGATACAATGACATAATACATTCTCTATGGCAAAGAGATGCACTGGCTGCAATCAGTCATTCATTTTATCTCTAGCCAGTCTATAAATCTACTAAATGACCACTGATAAATTGCCAACACTTATCATCATTAAAAGAAAGTCTATAAGTCCAATAAGTTTTGTTATTACTATACTGGTAGCAGTTTAACTTAAGAGTTGTATTATTTGTAACACGTTGTTTGAAATGCATATAGAGGTTCTGCTATATCATGCAAAAGTATTTTGATAAAGCACTTTGATCTCATTGCATCCTTGCATTGATGTCATTGTAACCGATAGAATAGAGTAATAGAATAGCTGTAGATTAAAGAGATTATAATAGAACACATTATGAAAATGCTAGAATGAAACAAAATAGAATAGCATAGATTAAAACTGGATATAATCTATTATGATATATTGGATGAGAATAGATAAGAACAGAAAAGAAAAATAAGAGTAGAATAGAAAATAATCAGTGGAATAGATTAAAATAGAACAATCATAATAGAATGGATAGATTCCAGTAGAATAGAATGGTAACACTTTAAAATAAGTTTGCATTTATTAAAATTAGTTAACTACATTAGTTAACATGAACTAACAATGAAAATATAAAGCATTTATCCATTTTACTTCATGTTAATTTCAACATTTACTAATATATTGTTAAAATAAAAACTTAATAATATTTAATGGAACTAAGTTAACATGATCTGACAATGAACAGTTGTATTTTAACTAAACATTAATAATGAGCAATACATTTGTTACAGTTTGCTTTGTTAATGTTAGTTAATGCATTTACTAACGTTAACTAATGGGACATTAATGTAAAGTTTTAGCAATAATTAATTTTAGAAACAGATGATAATAAGAGTAGAATAGAAAATAATCAGTGAAATAGATTAGAACAATCATAATAGAATGGATAGATTGCAGTATATTTACAGTAGCTTATTATTTTTTTTGTTAGAAACAGATTATTATTAGTAGACTGCTCCAAATAAGATTTTGCAGCGCATTCCAAACACACATATTTTAATATTTGGCGTCCGATCCATTACCTCCACCTGCTGATCCCGACGTTGGAGGATCCGGCGAACCAGGGGTCGAGGATGTACACACAGCGGACACTGTGCGCTCCCTGGATAGAGTCTCCGAGTGAAGGATTGTCGTGGAGCCGCAAGCCCTTCCTGAACCAGTGGACCGTATTTACCACCATTACTCCACTTCAAGTCCCCTCAACCGTTTGTAGTATGCTGGGGTGATTCGATATAGACCTCCTTTCGCGTTGCCTTACTACACACTCAAAAGAAGAAACTGCTTTCGAAAGCGTAAAAAACGACAAGTTATCTAATAAAGTCACTATGTATGCGCGTTCAAATGATTATGGATTATGTCCGGAAAAAAATAATTAGCCTTGCTCTAACAAAACACTTTCCATCTTCATGTCTAATGATTTGGGACACGACCACAGTTGAAGCATTGGGGCGCACGCTGGCTACCCGCGCAACAGCCGAATACACGACCGGCTTTAGGACCAGGACGCAACGCAAAGTACACTTCCCTGTTGTATAACTTGTTTTTCTGAATTACCCAAAATAATCAACAATACTGTACATGTTTTATATCTCGCCTGTGAAGCAAGTTGATCTGTGAGTTGATTTAAATCTCAATGCGCGCAGTCTTCCAGTTGAAGTCAATTCGGAGACGAGCGAGCCCTAAATCAGCGCGATTATGTAAATATTAATATTGGCCCGAGCCCTTCGTAACCGCGTTACTGGCAGCTGTCGCAAAATAAAGCAATATCCCGCATGAAGTGAGATCTCATATTAGGTATTCAGCGTGTCTTGGTTGTTTCCTTCAACGTTGTGTCCACTTGTGAATATTTTGCCACGGAGAAGATTCCATAGACTTTCAGCCATGCAATGCAATCGGTAGACTAAACTCCACCTAGTTGAGTGCGCACATGAAATAGCGCGTTCTGTTTGGTCAAGCCCTAGTGTGACGTAGTTGATCCTCAGTCACGTTCCTTTGATGTGATTATCTAACACACTAACCAGTTATACTTTATAAAATGCTGTTCATTACATATTGTGAATGAACATTAGTCTTTATGTTGTTTGTTAATATGTGCATATAATTACAATGCTATTGTTTATAAAAAATATTAATGAAATTGTAAACATTATTAAAAATTGATGTATGTGCAAACTGCGTATATAAACATTGCAAGGTTTGATTTATACGTTGCAACCCCATAAAGACCATCAAGGGCTGTGGTGTTCAGTCCTCGAAGCTGATTGGCTGGAGCTGCAGTACCCGGATAGGCACATGAGAAGCGACATGAGCAAACTCGTGTCAGTGCGCTGTGTTTTCCTGAAGAAAGATGGCACTGTTGAGACGTGCCGTTAAAATCGCATTTTTTTCCCAAGAATTGTTGGCAGATATTTATTTTCTGGACTTATTTTGGCGCTCTTTACACAATAGAAAGCACCAGTTATCAGCATGAATACAATTCTGGTCATATTCCTTACATCTCATCATTTTTAGCAAAATTGCATTTTGTTGGCCATTTAGTTGACGATTATGCTATTTAACATAATAGATATTTACTTATACTGCAAATGACAAAATAATAATGGTCCTTTAAATATGTTTACATACCCCTTTGGTTCTTTTAATATCATGTGTTGCCTTATCAAGCATCAGTGACTCTTTGTCCCTGGTTTGTTTACAAACCACTTTTCATGGGGAAAAAAGCCTCCATGTACTGTAAGGTCTTTGCTTTCCCAGCATACTCTGCACATTTAAGTTTTGATGCTCCAGATTTGTCACTGAGGACAATTAAGGTTCTCAACTCCCACTGCTTTGCACATTTTGTATGTCTTTCTTATTTAACACTCCTGATTCAGATAATCAACTCATTAGAAGGGAGCTCCATGAACTGAACCGAGTGTGTAAGATAAGAGAGACATACAAAATGTGAAGAACAGTGGGTCCCCAGGAGTTGAGAACCAATGAATTAATGGACATATGCACAACTATCAAAAGCAGCCGCTGCTGGATTATATTGTGAGCCAAGGATGTGTGCACCCATTCACTGCAGTGGATCCATTGGTAAGCAAGTGATGTAATACTAAATTTCTCTATAACTGTTTCAATGAAGAAACAAACTTGTCTACATCTTAGATGTCTTGAGGGTGAGTACATTTTCACCAGGTTTTTATTTTTGTGCGAACTATTCCTCTGTTTAACCTTATTTTTACTTGTCTGCATTCACAATGCCTCTAATTCAGTATGTTATGAAATCTTTGCTACACTATTAAAAGCAGAAACTCATTTTGAACTGATCTGATTTAGAATAAATGCTGGTCATATAATATAGTCAATTATGCTGAAAATAAAATGATGTAAGCAAATAATTTGAAATCATGTTTAGATGCTGCCTCACCAAGAAGGAGTTAGTAGATCCACATTCCTAGATGTCAAGTATGCATATGTTTAATTTATTTAAAATACTGCAATAACATATTGCTACCACTTTTATTTATAAGAATACTTATATTTCACCATCATTTTTCTTTCTATGCAACATCATTTATGTATGCATGTTGCTGTTTCAGCCAAATAGTAGCTTGAAAAATGTCTGAATGTGTGAGGTTTCGTATGCAATTCATTGCCAACCATAAAACATGAACCGTAGTATTTGTCTAACCAAATTAAACTTTCCAGATGAGGAATGAATCTGGAGATCTAGACTTAATTACACATTTCTTATTCATACTTGTTCTTTTTGTCCTAATATAACCGTAATGGTCTCTGTGTTTCCATAAGATGGATTTTTTATGTGAGTTATACATAAGCACCAAATACATTGTCGCCTTTGTGTTTCCAGGCAACAAGCAATCATGGAAGAACATGTGAAGGAGAAATCTTAATTAAGAAGAACAACCTCTGTATCCCAGCCTGCCGCTGCTGCGGACTGATTTATTCACAGGCACTGCATATCTAAGGTAATTAATAAAATATGTAGAATAGATGAAATTTGAATGAAAGCATAATTGTGCTTATTATAGCAAATATTGAATATCAGTTGAATCAGTGCCTTTTAAAACACTTTAGTACTAATAGAATTAGTTTATTTCTGTTGAAAAAATATTGTCCATATTACTGATTTAATGAACAGGAAATTAGATAAGGATCAGAGTGGTTTTAATAAGAATATTAGACAGTGTTACATTGGATGCAACCGAGGCACAATGTAGATGTTTGATAGAGAAAGCGCTCATTTTTGATAATGACTAAACATTTGTGCAAGGTTCTTTTTTTGTAATAAGTATCTTTATTCATAAAAAGGGAATGATGGTTATAAACAGCATGTTTTTCTGCTGTGAACACTGAACAGTCAAGTGGAAATCACAGGTTCAGTTATACAATCTTCCTGCCAAAATAATTTGCTCCCATATTCACAGAATAAAGGCTATTACTCAGTATCACCTAGAGAGGGCGCCAGATACGCAACAATTTTCCATCAATGCGCCAAATGTCGCCTTCTATTCGTATTAATAATGAGCTTGATAAGAAGACTTCTCACGTCAAAACAATTAGTTTCTTTTCACGCTAGAACACTCGCATAATTAAACACACAAAGCCTTTAGACGTTTTTAAATCTATTCTTGTACAGCGTGCTTGTTTCATTCCAGAACTTTTTTGACAATTCTGAAGTAATTGCCTGAGTTCAATTTTAGATGGATAGAGACAGATGAGAGGTGCAGAAGCTGTTCAAGCGATTGCTTTGATCTACAAATTTCAGAATCATCGCGTAAACATCCTCCGGCTTTAGAGAAGCATGTCGAGTTGGTTAGAGAGAAGAGTGTTTAGAAGAGATTGTGAGGTTATAATCTTGTTCCATATGCAATTATATATCATATAGAATAATGATTTATAATTTTATAATATTATAACAATATTATTATTAATAATAATAATAATATAATTAATATTAATTTGTATTCATGTCGCCTATTTAATTAATCGTTTGTACAAATATGCAGATACTGATATTTTTCAATCAAAATCTGCATTTTGCTCATATATGTGATTTTTAAGGATAACCGTTTTAAAATTTAAAAGACGCTACTAGTATGAGACTATTTTTCTGACTGATTTTACGTTTTGAAAGTGAAAAAGGCACCCATATACTTTTGGAGCCTGTTGATTTGTTCATAAGTTATTTCAATTTGCATAGTCCCTCCCTCCTTGAGAGTGATTTATGTACATAGCCCCCTCCTCCTATGAGTGCTTTATTTGCATAGCTCCTCCCCAGATGAGTGGTTTTGCAGTGAATGATGCAGTGGTTGGTGAAGGCGTTCTGAGCTCTCGAATTACGCAGCCAAAGTTGGGAGCAGAGGCGCGCGTTGGAGATATATTTTTTTTCTGGTGACTTACCAAAACACTAAACGAATTGTCACTGCGCGCGCTTGTAGATTGTGTTTGCGCGTGAAATTTGTTGGCAATACATTCCTTTACTGCTCAGAGGACAGGGCGCGCCAGAGGAACGCGCTTTGGGGTTTCTTTAAAATATCAGGCATAAGCCTAACATTATGAGGTGCAGGCATGGCAGGCAAGGGTAAGACAGCTGCAAAGACGCTGGAGGATTTAACGCTCGATTCCGGTTATGGTGGAGCGGCGGATTCCTTCAGGTCGTCCAGCGTGTCGCTCTGTTGCTCGGACACGCATCTGTCGTATGCACATGGGGGCAACTGCTGGCATCTGACTGAATCCATGCACAGCAGACACAACAGTTTGGACACGGTCAACACAGTCCTGGCGGAAGACACGGAGATCCTGGAGTGCTCGGGCCAGTGCGCCAAACTGCCCGAGCTGGAGGAGGACGTGCCGTGGAGTCTTGGAGAGGTGGAAGGCGCGCTGCGCAAAGACGAGGAGCTGTGCGTGGGGAACGCGTCGCGGGAGATCCTGGCCAAGCTCTCCGCGCTGGTCAACCGCGCGCTGGTGAGGATCGCCCGGGAGGCGCAGCGCCTGAGTCTGCGTTACGCCAGATGCACCAAGCACGAGATCCAGAGCGCCATCAAGATGGTCCTCTCGTGGACCATCTCCGTAAACTGCATCACTGCGGCGCTCAGCGCGCTGTCGCTATACAACATGAACACGGGCGATAAGTTCAGCCGGGGCAAGTCTGCCAGATGCGGACTCGTCTTCTCCGTCGGGAAGTTCTTCGGGTGGATGGTGGACAGCCGGGTGGCCCTGCGCATCCACGAGCACGCGGCGATCTACCTGAGCGCCTGTATGGAGAGCCTGTTCCGAGAGGTGTTCAGCCGGGTGCAGAGGAGCGCGCTGGTGGAGAAGGAGAACGGAGTGCCAAAGTTTTCCGTGGAGACCCTGGAACAGGCCATAAATAACGATTCGGAGCTGTGGGGTCTTTTGCAGCCGTATCAGCATCTCATTTGTGGCAAAAACGCAAGCGGTAAATGTTTACACTTTTTTTAGGGTTACACTTTATGTAAGGTGTATGGCGTTGTTATAGTGTAATTACATAAATAAATAATATTAACTACATGTACTTACTATAGGGTTACGTTTAGGATTAGTTTCTTGTAATTATACATAATTTAGTAAGTACGTGTAATGTAACTGGTTAACCTTAAAATTAACTTTTACCTATTTTAGTCTCAATAATAGTCAACCTGAATATTTAGAACGTGCTTTTTATTTATTTAACCAAATCATGCACTTTTTGTCATTGATTCATGCTGGTTTTATGATGCAGTTGCATTGAAATGCACCTGAACTCAGTCACAAACCTATTTTGAGGTCAGTCAGCAGTTGTTCTACCCATCTACCTACCTCCTACTTACCTTCTTTTTTTGATAACACAATTGAAAGTGTGTTTCATAATAGCTGCCAACATGCACTCTTAAAATACTTTACCAGCATCTAGAACATTTTTTGC